GAGATGTATGTCTAGATTGTGGGGGTGATGAAGGTTTCCCTTGAGAAGGTCCAGGAGATGGAGGAATGGGCAGAGTGGTTGGGATCTTTAAACAAGTAAAGATCTGATCCAGTTTGGAGGAAATGTCATCCAACTTTTTGGAAAAAGCTGAGTGGCTACTCTCCAGACTGGTAATCCTGTCGTCCCAGTTAGAAAAATAAGAACAGTGAATATCATCTTGCAAAAGGATGACCTCAGCCAGTGACTGGAACTACCACTCAACCTTATCTTCTCTACATCTGCAATCAGCAACTTCCTCCTGGCCTCTTTCTGAGCGGCCTCTTCTTTCTTTTTTAGCTCAGCCTTTAGGGACTCAACTGCCTGTGCTTGTAATTGTAGTTTCTCCTCCTGAGCACGCAGTTCAAGCTCCAAATGGTCAAGCGGAATCTGAGGCTTCACCTCAGAAGCCTCTCCCTTCCAGCATCTGCCATCTCCACAATTCAGATAAAATAAAGCAAACAATAAAGCAGAAGACAAACCAGAGGTAACAAGAATTGAGTTTTCTCTTCAGTACACACTTAATTGCTGTCACCTGACTAAAGAGAGAAAGTTGGTTAGTCTGAGCAAGTGAGTGCTCAGTCTCAGCAGACCGCTTGAGGGCCAGGGTCTGTTTAGAGCAGACTCAACAAATATCCATTTCACGATTTTCCATTCACTGACCTGTCACAACAATTGCATGCAACTACTGCAAACCCTGTATCAATTATTTGTAGGGTGCAGTCTTGGACTGATTAGTAGGGATTAGAAGTTAGACAAAGTGACTAATTAGTGACAATCAGGTTTCCACTGATGACCAAGGTGCAGCGATTTACAGATAACGTATTTTTAGACCTACCCTACAGACTTCACCACTGTAGACCCTGTGCAGCGATTTACAGATAACGTATTTTTAGACCTACCCTACAGACTTCACCACTATAGACCCTGTATGCCATACCCTGGGTATGGCGAATTACAGTTTTCACTGTAACTGACTCAGAACATCAAATTTGACTGTGTGAATTTAGACACCGACTGTATACTGAATTGTGATTTACTAGGGACTAGCAAAATTGAATTCTAACGGACGGAATTGAAGTTATGACTGACCCTAGTCTAGTCAGGCTTCAACTATGTACGCAAAATTCAAATTTTCATTATCACTGACAACATAACCCTAAATTCACCAATTCACTACACAGCATAAATCGCAATACTGTAAAGCAGCCACATATGAAATTTGAGTCGGAAAGGACGTCAAACGGGGTTAGTAGAAGTCAAAGAACATAGGTAGGGAAAGTTGGATATGGTTGTCCCACAGTCTGAATTTCGATTTTCAATTGTAAATTGATTGACAAACCATATTTCGCTAATCTAAAAATAGCTCCAGAATCGCCACACAGAGTAAGGTATGGAACACACTTACTTCAGGATCAACTCTGAAGAAGATGAGTGAAACTTGGGCTATGGCTGTCTGGTCAACCCTATCTCGCCAATTTAATCTCCTGTTGATTCCCAATGGTCCCACATACCAAATCTCCTATAACTTCATGATCCAGCAGATTACCCTGAGGCGCTTCACCCCCAACAGACAGAGTCAATGAATTTGGACTCCCAGGTGCAGATAACTGATAAACTCAGTGCAGCGCCACATCACCCTGTACTGCGCTGCTTGGAAATTGGGGATCTTGACCCAATTCCAAAATCGCAACACCCTGGGATCACCTCTTTGCCAATCGCCAGCCTTCAGATGAATCGCCAAGCTCACAATAGCCTCTCAGAGCCTCCCAGGCCTCTGAGACACAATCGCCAACCACGCTTGCTTCAACCTAGACAGGAGCGAGTCACCCTCTGTCCAATTCTTCTCGCCACACACTCACTACCACCACCCTTACCGACAACAACCTTTAAGATGATGAATCGCCATGAAACTCAACTTCAGTATCTCGCCAGATGATGATGATTGCTCCAACTCATCAATCGCTCCAGAGTCCGGATCCAATCGCTCCGATACCAATTGTTATAATTTTGGTTGTCTGTTGTCTGAAGACCAACACTCGCTCACACCGACTCCCAGGTATGCCCATACATACACAGAAGGAAGGGGAGAGGACAGGGAGAGATAAACACAGTGGAAGACTTGACCGTGCAATATGACAGGGTACACTGAAAGTGCAATTCACTCCACTCAATCCTCACAACCAGTCATAAAGGAAAGCCGAGTAGATCACATCCAAGAAACAATGAAACGATTCTGGACACAATATTAACACTGTTTATTAAACTCAGAGTCTCGAATTGTCAGAATAACTTCAGACTATGATGCGTTGCTCAGAGAGGAGCAGTGCTTCACTCCCCATCCCTGATGAACCGCTATCACCACCCCTGAGTCCCTGAAACATCAAGCGCCACACAGATACAGCCTCCAGAGGGAAGCGCCACCCTGTAACAGGCCTCTGAGGCCAAGTGCCACTCAAAGGATGAAGAAGAAGACCAGCGCCACAGTATCTGATGATGACGAAGTGTCCGAAGACTTCCCAGGTGGAAGTCTGCAGCAGCGCCACCACTCCTGACAAGATGACCTCTGAGGAAGAAGCTGCAGCTATGGCTGCAGCACCGCAACCCTGTAACCCTACTCCGGAGGAGGGTCCAGCAGGGCACCAACTTCTCTCGCCTCCAGCAGACCTCAAATAGCCCAGACCTCTGTACAGCCCCACGTGCTGACAGAGTACAGCGCAGGTCCCAGCTATGCCCGGCGGTCTGGCTATGTCTGTCTCCCTCAACGCTGAGCCGTACCACTTCCAGTTCAGGCGTTGCGCCGCAGCGATGTACTCGGTACCAACCGCCAAAAGCCCTGAACCGATGTGCCTAACCTATTTATAGTCTACTCTAGCCTAGACTCGACCTAGACCGGACTGACTGACCGACCGGTACCGTTTCTGTTTCGGCCTCTAGGGCCTCTCCCAACCCCGGCTATAGGCTATAGGACCATCTATCAGCTTAGGCCTTTACGGCCTGTCTGTCCTGGGGGTAGCCCGGGTCTGCTATTCGCAGTTAGGGTAGCTGTAGGAAATTCAGTTAGTACGGGCCTGTATTATTCCCGAATTTGCAGGTATGTCCCTCACGAATTTTCCTTAAAGGCAGGTCTCTTCGTTAGCCCTCAGCCACACAAAATAGCAAATCTAACCTACAAATAGTACAGCCTCGACAAGAGAGAGGCTACAGACGACCAGAAACCAGCAAGTCATTGCACACACGCAAATACTCGGATCCATGTCAGGCAGTGACAGGCACATAATTCTGTGGTCGAGATGGAGTTACAATTGTCTTCTGACTCTTTCCATAAATGCCATAACCATCCCTCCCATATGCATGCCAGGCCCAGTACTGTCATTCCTCTGGAGAAACAGTATGGTGCTCCTCTTCTATCCAAAGTCTGCATGTGTGGTGTGGTAGAGGTGAAGGAAGGCAAGGGTCAGGGCCAAGTTTTTAAATGGCTTTTCAACTTTTGAATCACAAGACAAAATGCCCTAAGAAAAGACTTCTCCACCAAGCACACAGCAATATTGAATATTCTAAGAAAAAAGTTTCCTACCAACCTGATCTCAGCATTTCGGACCTTGAATTCGACCCGAAAGAGTGGATATGGAAACGGGGAAAATCCGGGAGAACGAGAACGATATTCGAGATGAAAAATTCGGATACGACTTATTGGACTACAGACCACAGACCCCCAGGATCCCAGCCTCAAAAAAAATGGAGGGAGATCCTGAACCTAGAACCTACGGACCACATTTCCATCCCCTGGACGAAGTACCTGTCCATCAGGCCGGTTAGGATCCGAGGCATGCAGGGGCTTGTAGCCCCGCATCTTTGCCCGTCAATCAATGGCTCCTCAAGAGGAGGAAACATACGGATCCCGACAGCTCTGAAGTGTGTGATATGTGCACAGAAAATAGACCAGAAATACCCCACTGCCTCCTGTACTGCACTGAAGCCGCCTGGATATGGAACAAGGTCCACAACTTATGGTCCCTCCTCTTCTCATCCACCCCCACCCCCACCCCCACCACCACACATACAACTCCTCAGAGCATCCTTCTTTTATCCAACATTGCTTACACTCTAGAAGGCGGCAAGGAAATCTGGTTTCGCCTTCTCAGGAAGCTGGCTCTGTGGGTGATCTGGAAAAAGGAGGTGTACCAAGACCATCGAGAGAACGGAGATGGCAAGGGACAAAATGTGGGCCCTACTGTTTGTTGGGTATGACGGAAACCGAGATCCGGTGCAGATGGAGGGAGGGTGACATCAACAGCGAAAGTCAGACCAGAAAGGCTAGCTACCAAGAGACGTTCTTTCATGAGAGACCGGCTTCTACAGGGAAAGATTGCAACAGTGGCAGATAACAGTTTGATCTGGAAGAAATGGCACAGCGAAACTCCGGCAAGGACGACGACCCAGTGGTGGGCAAACTGAGACCATAGTCTCAACAATTATTGAACAATATAGACAACTCTCCTCTTTTCTTGTTGCACACAAATTATATGACAGAATCACTACAATGGATTCTGAGAGGAAAAATGGTAGGGCAAGCTGACAGTCAATCCTCCTTTAGCATGGAGCAATCAATGCTGGTCAGGGTTCCTTCGGCCAGACGGAAGCAAGCGTGTGCGTGTGCGTGTTCACCATGTATTCCAATTTTCGACTTGCTGGTGGACAGGAACCGGACTGACGCTCCCCCGAATGGACAAGGAGCCAGGACCATAAGGACCTGTTATTTGAAAAAAAAAAAAAAAAAAGTTTCCTACCAACCACCCAACTCCGAACAAAGGACTTGCCCACCACCAAGCCCATACAGGCTGATACAGCTACCATTTAAGAAGAAGAAGAATCACCTAAAAAGCCACCAGGTAAGGAGAAGAGAGAAAAAGCACCTACAGTTCTCAACTTACTTCAGTGGTCAGGCCCTATTGCAAACTCACATTGGCTTCTGCAGCAGGATTAACATTCCCATTCACAAAGAATGCACCGCCAAGAACAATAATCTGAGCAACATTCTTCACAAACTCGGGATCCTGTTCGATAGCCTGCAGGAAAAGACAACAGGAAATTTACCAAGTCAATCATGTCAAAGATGAAGAGAATGGAGTCCTAGACTCCTTGTTTGTCTCTCTCTTTCCTCTCCCCTTTCTTATTTTTTTTATTTTTTTTTTAGCCATGTGGTACGCACCTTTCATAACCGTACTGGACTTACCAGGATTTGAACACTTGACCTTCATCTTTTTCGTTTCTGTTCTTTCACTGCTTTTGTCAGGAAAAGTGTTCCCCTTCTTCATGGGTTGCCTGTGATTGTAACTGCATGCCATCCATATAACTGATATCGGGCTGTGAATGATCCTGTTGTACAGGGACGCTGGACCCCGTTCCCAGCAGGTGCAGCTCCCCACCAATAGATGGAGCAACCAGGGACAGCTACTAGAGGCAGCTGCTCTTATCACCCCCTCTAGTAGAGGTCGCTGGTTAAAAAAAAAAAAAAAAAAAAAAAAAAAAAAAAAAAAAAAAAGCCCACTCGGCAACAAGTTAAAAAATCCAGGAAAAGCCTAAAAGGTCATATATGTCACATGATATATTTCATACGACCGGTAGTCACATCTCAAGCAAGTAATTTGGACAGATCAAGTCAAAACCAGCCTCACATCCAAGCAACCGCCCAATGACACCCATAGAACTGATAACATACTTTTTCACTCCACCCGACAAGAAGTTGCAGAATCCAGGAAAGATCCAAGATCTCATACTCACCACATCACCAGAAATTAATTGAGATGGATCAACTGAAAACCACCACTACATCCAAGTCCATCTCAGATCACGCCTGTATTCACATGGGCCACAGGCGCTGGCCGTACTTTCTTGCAAATGTGCAAAGAAAGATACTGTTCTGTGAAATTAGCCATGGGCGTGGCTTCTAGCCTAGAGTTGTGTTGTATATTCTAACAAAATCTACCTACGACTGAGTCCTCCCAGCAATGCTGCTGTCCCACAGTTCCTTGGACATAACGGAGGAAAGCGGTGTGTGGGTCTTCATGCAAGAGACACTGAGCAATAATGTAAATAATACTAAATAGTAAATACTAAATACTCATTTTACAAAAGAGAGGGAAAAAAGAAAAGAAAAGCACGGACGGAAGTGTAAGTACGTTGTATGTGTATCTTGGACTTGCTGGGGAAAAGGAACTGAACTGCTGCTTCAAGGAATGAAGAGGAGGCGGTATCGTAAGGTCCTATTTTAGGAGGAAAGAAGGGGGGGGTGCCGGGAACGGCATGGGTGTTGCTAGTAGCCGTATGAAGATAAAGCTCAACGCCCCCACAGCAATGTGCACAATTATACTCCTCTCCAATTCCTCTTACGGTAAGACACAGTCCTTGGTAAGTTCATGCATCAGAAAAATAAAACTCAGGACTTATATCAGTGTTATCACACATGGTTAACTGGTCACTGATGGTCGGTGGCAAAAGGCTGCACCAAGAGTGAGCACCAGGTCCCCCTGAAAACTAACAGAGAGATTGGTGTTGAACCCTTGGACTCGTTATTTTTCTGACCCTTTTTTTTTACTCCATCCTGATGCTGCTGTCATTGCCAAACGTATTCCGTATGTTCAACAGCCACCATTCTCGGTGCCAAAAACTGTCATTCTTCTACTTGGTTACTTCGATTCTGTTTCCAAAAAGATTCTTCTACTTGGTTACTTCGATTCTGTTTCCAAAAAGATATGTCCATCCGTAATGGAGATTACATTGGTAGGAATATAAGCAGAATCAGCAGATACATCTCCAGCTTGTATGTCGGTAACAGGTAAAGCAGTCAGACTACCTGCACCAGCTTGGTCTGACATTCTGGCAGCTCTTTCTATCATGCATGGGTCCTGGAGACCATCTCACGCAAGTGTGTACATGCCATACATCGTTCTCCCACACACAACGAACAGTAGTCTGATAATAGGTAGAGAAGATGAGAACCGAGTTTCACAGCTTATATTATCAAAAATATGGATACAAAGTGTTTCAAAGTTTCCCTGAGTCCAGCGCTCATCAGCGCAACACCAATATCTTGCCAACTCATCAATATGCCTTCCAGTGAATCAGTGCTACCCCTGCAGATAGTCTCCAA